CTCGCTAACTAATGATACACCCAGTATATATCACTATGCATCAGTATATATCAGAATATATGAAGTCGTACCCTTTTGCTTTTGTTGCCCACACAAACTCCAACTCTCCCATAGAGAGAAACGCTGACTGGACGCGTTGATGTCGTTCCTTTTTCTTTTTATTTTCTATTCTTTCTTTCCCTTCCTTTGTCGTTTCTGGTGTTGTTGTTGATGTTGTTGGCGTTGTCCTCGTTTTTCATTTGCATTCGACGTTCGACTGGCACGAAGCTGCCACCGTTCCACATTCACCACCTTTCGCCCGGCGTTCCGCCACCTTTCACCACCCCCGAAACGAATTCGAATGACCGTATTCTTCGTGCAGCACAGGTCTGCAATTATTTTGCCTGGCGCATGGATTATTACCCATTTTATCCGACCTAATTGGACGAAATTAGACATCGATAGGTATGCAAATTCCAACGCGCACAAACTGAAGGCAGGTCAACCCCAATAGAATTCATCAAAATCTGAACTCTCAACTCAATTTTTTGTATCACTACAAAGCATTTTTACCAAAATTAATTCAAATAAACCACGATTATACCAATACATTAAAAAAATATAGAAAAATGTCGATGATGATAAACGACTCTGCCAACTATATGCAATTTTCTCTATAAAGATTCGACAGAATGGTGCCATAAAAAAATTATACTAAACGTAATTTATTTGCTTAATTATATTTGTAATGGGTGTATATAAAATTGATGGTTGGAAATTTATGGTCGACTTCGTAGCGGTCAGTTTTGTATGTGTGCAGTACCTTCGTTCTGCTGAAGTAGCGCGCGCGTTACGGTTTAGATTTATTAAATTTCGGTCATTATGTAAATAAACGAGAGGACCATAAAAAATGGAGGGAGGATGCTGTAAATAAGGACGAGCGGAATAATTTTATAGTTAATAATTCTCAATTAGTTATGTTGTAGAAAAAAAAAATAATCAATTTATTTCAACCCCCGAGCCGTTTTTGTACGTCCGGGCAATTAATTTGTAGTTGATATGTGTTTAACGTTCTGTGAAGCCCATGAAAATAGTTGTCGATCGAAAAGTAGGAGGATGAGGATGAGAAGGAGGATTACAGAAAATAAAAGAGAGCATACACATCGAAAGGTGCACACACCCAATGTACCGTGGGGCTAATTTCGGGGAATCGATGGTGTTATTAATTGGCCAGGTAAATCGACGCATGTGGTCCGTCCCTTGAAGGGTCGAAAACAACGATGTTAATAGTACCGAAAGAGAAACGGTTCTTCTTTGTATACATTGTTTTTTTTTCTCTCTTGTTTTTGTTTCTTTTACTTTTCTTCTTCGGTGTGTTCTTTATTTCTTTATATTTTTAAGGTATGCGAAGTCGATAAAATCTTTGAGGGCACCCACGCGGTGCAGCCAGATTTGCGTATTATTTCTGTCCCGTGTTGGGCCTTTGGTGGCAGTTGTTATTAAATGTGTTTCGAGTCGAGACGATCGAGCGCAAAAGAGAAAGAGCGCGTGGGACGAGAAGGCGCCATGCGGAGCCAAGCAGGTGATGATAATAAGTTGGCGGCGATAGAGAATGCTTTTCTTGCCTGCAGACCAGAAGAAAACCACCGATGGAAATCCATGCGCCTTTACTTTTACACCAAAGATGAAGAATAAGAAGAACAACAACTACAGCATCAACGCTCTTCGGCATCTCTCCGATGAATACACGTGATCATTTTAATTTCTCGTTCTCGTTCCAACCCTACCCCAGAGATATTTACGTTTATTTGCATAACCCTCCATATAATTACACGCTTGTAATATCTGACCATAATTTACTCCCATTATTCGGTTTTATGTCTTAACTCCAACCCTTGCCCACACATGATGATTTCCTTTTATTATTCTTTTATACACCAGTCTTTTCCAAACAAAACTTTTATTAACAACTAACATACACATTCACTAGAAAATTATATTTAACAAAAAAAAAACTTTATATTGTAATAGCATTCAATTATTTTATAAACTATCAACTTAAGATTTAAAGAAAAAAGAAAATTTTAATTATTATTTATAATTTTTGTAAAAATATAATTGTATTGAGAAATCAAATGATTTATTGATACCTTAAAGATTTGTGTTTCTTGCCAACAATAGGTTAAAGGTAAATGTAGGTAGAACAAAACAGAGGATATTAGAAAATAGCGTTTTATCATCACGTTGTATCTGGAAATTTTAATTGGTTGACAGCGTCGGAGAGTGAGAGCCACCCCGTGTAATGGCATTCCAATAACTTATCGGGTTTTTCTCTTTGTCTCTATTCCTCACCATGCATGTCTCTCGGTCTTCTCACACACACTCACCGGTTTCTGGTAGATCCCTTCTAATAATTACTAAACTGTCAGGGAATCGAATCTAGTGGGATGACAAGGGTGGTTTTATCTCTGTTATCAGCAGCGGTGTGGTGAATTAATTAAGGGAGTTTCTGACACCATTAGTCACTTAGACCTCTCTTTGGCCGTGCGTACAAATAGATTGACTCGCTGATTTACTGGCGACGCCCTTCGCACACCGAATCCGCCACCTCCGAGACGCGAAGCATCCTTCCTCTTCTTCGAACCGCTCAGAAAACCAAATAAAAAAAATATAGTTTTGCGAAATTATACTCAGAACAACGGCAAGAAGCACACTGACCTATTGTTCCGTATGCCTTTCGAAACGTGGAGAACTGATTTTTTTTTTTGCTGAAACTTCTGGTGCGGATAAAATGCAACACGATCGACGGTCGATTAATGGAAAGCCCCCAGGTGATCGATGTGACCGTTCGCACCTCGCATCTGCTATAATTTGTTTCGGCTTTTCTAATTTTCCCCCAGCATCAAGTTTGCTCTTTTTTTTTCCACGCTGTTTTATTGGTGCTTTGCCTCCGCGGCGGAGCGCATTTCGACAATACCCATTTTCTAGCTCTCCCATAACCGCAGCGACTGCCGCCTTTTTTTTTTGTCGTCTTCTTATTCCTGTTGTAAACGGCCTCGACTTCTTACTTCTCCTTTACACTCCAATTACATACATTTTTTTACGACGTTATTACGTATCTGTTTCAGTTTTACCAGCAGATTTACTCTAATCACTGTAATCCTTTCATTTCGTTTCTTGTAAACACATCCTTATTTAAGATGTAATCTGCGATACATAATACCTAAACGATATTCTTTAGACGTACCAAAACGCTTACATCTAAATCTTTAAAGGTAATTTTCTAAACTTTCATTAATTTATTTAGATTTAAATACTAAAAATACTAATATTAAATTAAAAACAATTATTTTATTACATAATTCATTTTATTTATTTCTATTATAATCTTAATTTTTTTAAGCGAAATTTTTTTCTATTTTCTAATTTTTAAATTTAAAATAATTTTATAACAAAAAAAATACAAATAATTGTGTAATTTTTATATTTGTTTCAATGAGATTTTCATTTGATTTACTTATCTGTACTTGATCAATAATCTTTAGATAGGCTTGTTTCTATTTCTAAAACTTATTTTTAGTTTAAATAAAGGAAATTGATGGAATCACGATAATATTTCATATTTGATGCATGATGTAGCTTTATTTTTCAATAATAATATTTATTGCATGCACAAAAATAATAGATAACAACAAATTCATTAATGAACACATCTAATTTAGCTTAATTTATATTTATAAAAAAAAATATGAAATTAAAAAAAACAATTAATAAGAATTTTTAATATTATTACTTAAAATATTTATTTTATTTCTTTAAATAAATTAAATTCGATTTTTCTTAAATATTGACTTTTTAGTGCTGTATATTTAAATATTTATTATGTAAACGTGATCGGCCTTGAATGTTTGAAATCAGTAGAAGAAGAGTTATTCGGTAAATATGTCTGAGAAGCAGCATCTTCTCGAAATATAGGCATTTCAAGAAAATAGAAGAAAAAAAAGTATCGTTAATAGCAATGTTCACAACTTCCATCGTACATTAAACATCGTTAAGTGTGCAAGAAAAACGATGCCGCCGAGGCGTGGAATAGGTAACAGCCGGAATACTTAACGAATCCGTTGCGCAATACACTCATATTTTTTCTTTCTTTTAACTCTCATTCGATTATGAAACTGAGCAACCGATTGGAACGTTCAATAACAGGAATATGATCTGACACAGTTATGGCTGTCTCATTAATTATCAACAGTCCAGTTAATGAAAACTAAATGCTTTTCCCGTAACCTGATCGCAACTTTAATTGTTTTCCTTGAATAATTCCACAGGACATCGATTACGCCCCAGTCCGTCCTTCCACCTGTTCTCTTTCTTTTACTCCTTTACCATCCCCTATTCCGGTTCAGCTTCCTCTTTATCCTTTTATTTTATTTATTTTCCCTTTTGTAGTACTTCCTCCTTCTCTCTACGTGTGCTTCTCCGTTTCATTTGCTGCGAGAGAGCAGTTTCTGTTTTATTTTGGTTTATATTGCGGGATTTTCTGCTCCCATCTTAATGTTGCAGAGCATACCCATTTACAAAACTAAACTGCCTTAACGATGCCGACAATTTGCACTGGAACCGAAAACCGCCGGAGCGGAAATGGTGCATTGACATAAATCTAATTGATTGATACCTGATAAATCGCGAACGTAGATTTTATTACTACAGATTTAGATTAGATTCGTGTATTGATATAAATGCAAAATAACAATATAAATGCGCAACAAGTAATAAATATTGAAATATTGATATAATATAAGCTTTTGGAGGTTTGTATTTGTTCGGACTTTGAATTAAATGGATTAAATGATAGGCGATTTGAATATTTAATGTAACTTTTGAATCCGGGTTTAGAAAATCGGGGTATTTCATTTTTATTGTTTGTATTCGGGAGGATAATGTGATAAGGATCGTTGTTGGCTTAAACAATGAAGATTTTGGCGATAAGGTGATAAGGTTTGGGTATAAAGAGTAGCGGACAAAGTGGATCGTGCCATCAATTGGAGCGAGATGAAAGCCGCCGTCTTCTTGTTCATTGCTTTGGTAGGATTTGCCACCGCCGGTCCTTGTAAGTTTGATAATTCTTTTTGAAGATTCGCGATTATAAGTTTTGCGGTTTTAGTGCAGGGTCGCGGAAGGCTTTATTTCCCGGAGGAGGAAGATCCTAATAGGATTGAGTACTTTTACTGGGAGGACGATGAGGGTTTGGTTCACAGAGAGGATTTGGTTGGAGCCGTGAATGAGAGGAAGGCCGATATCAGCGACGTCACCATCTACCTGTACACTAAGAGCAATCCTTCGGCGCCGGAAACAATCAAACCCGCTGACTTCAGCACGATGACTTCCTCGAAGTACTACAAATCGTCGAGGAAGAACGTGGTCATTACTCACGGCTGGAAGAATAGCCACGAGAGCCCTGTTAACACGCTGATCAGATCCGCTCTGCTGAAGAAGCACGACGTGAACGTGTTCGTGGTTGATTGGCACGAGCCCGCCAGCAAGAATTACATCTCGGCACATGGTTCCGTTCGTGACGTCGGCACGATCGTCGGGAACTTCATCAACAAGCTGATGACTCAATACGGACTCACCGGCAAGAACTTCAACCTGATAGGTCACAGCTTGGGAGCTCACATCTCCGGATGTGCAGGTGCTGCCATGAAGACCAAGGCGGATTACATCATCGGACTGGATCCAGCGCTACCACTCTTCTCCATGGGTAATACCGACAATCGCATTGATCCATCGGATGCCCAGTTCGTTCAAATCATTCACACCAACGCCGGACTTCTTGGATTCTCCAGTTCCATCGGTCATGCTGATTACTACCCCAATGGTGGTAAAAAGCAAATCGGATGTGGCGCCGATCTTACCGGAACTTGCTCACACTCCAGATCATACATGTACTTAGCCGAATCCATCCAGAATTCTGGATTCACCTCTCACCTCTGCAACAACTTCGGTGACTACGATAAAGGAAAATGCAGCGGAAACCACAAATCCTTCCTTGGTAAATTTACCATCGACAGAACGTAAGTCCACTAATACAAATTATACACGCAATATTTAACATAAACTTTCACTTGCAGCGCTTCCGGCGACTATTTCCTCGCCACCAAAGAAAAGGAACCATTCTCTTTAGGATAATCCATCGCTTATATTAACCCTTATTATGAATCTTATAGATTTCTAATACCTATATCCCTGAATAAACGCATTATCAAAATAAAATAAACTTCTAATCTACAAATATTCTGCAACGAAATATCATTAATTTGCTAAGTAACTTAATCTCATGGATTATTACAGTCACAATGACGCACTTGAAAATATTAATCTACTCAATTAATACAGAGGCGAGAAGGAAGCTGCTTCGAGAAAATGATAACGCGTTTTCACTTAACGATGAATGCTCCCCACTGTTCCAACGGATTTCAATCTCCAACTAAAACTCTTTCATCCGCCTATAATTGAAATTAATGATTGATTAATTATACAATTAAGCTAATACGATAATAATAATAATACAAAAAAAAAACAAAGAAATTAGTTAAAATTGTTTAATTGGATTTGCGATTGTGAAATAATAATAAATTCGTTTCAGACTAAAAGCTTTGTAAATCAGTTATAGGCGAAAACTGGGGTATAATAAATTTTCTTAAAAGGTGTATTTTCTAAGGGAAAGTATAAAAATGATGGCTTGCTTGGCGTGGCAAAATGTAGGGGCCGAATCTCATCATTAATCCAGGCGAGATGAAGGCCACATTTGCATCGGCCACGGCTTTTGTCGCAGCCGCACCCTTTGTAAGTTTCATAATTAATTTTTAATCTTACGTTTAAAAGCTTTCCGCCGCGCAAAACCGCACTAGGCTTTACTTCCCCGAATAGGAAGATCCCAGTGGGATTGAATGCCTCGATTGGATTCATGATGACAGCTTCGTATAAAATGGGAAATTTGATCAGAGATCTTGATAAACTCCGCTCCGATAAAAAGGGACTTTACCTTTCAAAGAAATACTCAAACAAACTGTCAGATAGGTTTATTTATAGATATTGATATACCCTCAATATCCATTAACATACATATACGAGGATCATAAGTAATACTTATTTTTTTTTATAAATTAATTTATAATTTTCAATACAGCTTTAATGGAAAGGTTTTAAGAAACAAACACTTTCTGTACATCATATTTTCCTGGTAGCAGAATATGCTGTTTAACGGAAACGCCATAGAACTGATCGGATCGGATCCATTTGTGACATCTACATATTTGTAAAAGTATCCATAGCTTGTAAACGGCAATTTTGAGAGGCATCGCGACATCTACTATTAATTACTATTATTAACTCATTGAAAATCCTCTATACTTTATAGTCTCCTAGTAGCACGCTCCAATATTTGTCACAAACATCAAAAGACTAAATGATGAAACAAACGCAAATGGAATTGATTGGGCAGATTGGATGAATCTGGTAACGAAGGCGCGTCGACTGCGTCCTGTCATCAGCCGTGGCAGCTGCAATTAATAATGATTAATTAAAGTTTTTACCTGTATTTCCAATAAGTAATTAAAGTTTTCTTCGTATTTCTTAAAAAAAAAAACACATAATTGGACATGTACTTATTTTGTAGATAGTCCAAATTTATGTAACATCAGGATTCTTGAATGAATTAACATATACCGATGTACTACAGTTTGTACAAATTACTTTTGCATTGTGTTGCGTAGTTTGAAGTACGCTATCTGTGTATTACATAAATGATAAGTACTAAATCAAAAATAAATCCTAATCGATACAGATTTTTGGCAAAGTATGAATCAAAGTTACGCAATCATCGATCAAGGTGACATATCTAATCCAGTAATAAGATTTACAATGATGCTGTAAAATTTAAACTAAAGTATTATCTAACGATTAGATATTATTTGGGTATAAAATTGGGATATCGTGGTTTTGAAGTAGTTAGAAGAGATGCTTCTTCAGTTGGTTTTGATCATTGCAGTCGCCTATGGCGGTGAGAATTTAACTTAACTTAAATATATTATTATTATTAATTATTTTTGTAGCTAATGGTAGAATCGTAACGGATGAATATGAAGTTACGACTGATCACTTCGTGCTGATGGCAAGTGAAAGAGATGGCGTGCATTTAGTAAATCTGAAGTACCAGCCTCCCAATACGGATGTTTCGGATAAAGATTTGATGGTGTACTTGTTTACAAGGGCGAATACTCGGGAAGGCTTTCAGATTAAGGCTGAGGGTTTCAGCGGGGCCATTAAATCGCAATACTTCGATGCTAACAAGATTAGCTTGTTCGTTAATCACGGATACGGTGGGAATTACTTGGGCGGAGCCAATAGAGCTATACGAGATGCCATTCTGTCTAAACACGACGTTAATGTATTTCTGGTCGATTCTGCGAAGGCCAGGGAGTTTTACACAACCGCCGTGCTCTGTGCACCAGGTGTCAGCAAAAGAGAAGCTGAATTTATCAGGAAATTTGCAGACTTCAATGAAGTTCCATATGATAAAATACATTTGGCTGGACACAGTTTAGGAGCTCACGTATCCGGAGGTGTTGGCGCTCAGTTGGATGGCAAAGTTAGAAGCATCCTGGGCCTGGACCCAGCGCTCCCTTTGTTTTCTTACAACAATACCGAAACACGGCTGGACGTAACTGATGGCCAGTTTGTGCAAGTTATCCACACGAACGCTGGCTTGAAAGGGTTTAGTAGTTCCATCGGACACGCGGATTATTTTCCCAATGGGGGTGGCATGAATCAGCCAGGATGCGGCACAGACTTACTAGGATCTTGTGCTCATGCCAGAGTTTACAACCTCTATAAGGAGTCTGTACTTACGTCCGGATTTCTAGCGAAACGTTGCGATAGCTATGAAAACTTTAAAGCAGGCCTCTGCGACCACAACCCAACATCTCTCATGGGAGAATTCCCTTTGGACACTAGGTAATACTACTCGCTCCCTTCCGACAAGTGCTGAAATTTATATTTACTTAATTCGCCATCCTCGAGGAAATGTAAAATACATGTTTTCGCTTTTCCAACTTACTTTCAGACAGAAAAATATTGTTCAGCTCGGCCGTAATGGAACTAAATCATTTAGGATCCGCTATGAATTCATTGTAAAGAAATTAGAGTCTGAAGTTTAGAGGAAATTCAGTTAAAATTAGATTAGAGTTAGGATTATGCCGGGATTAGGCTGCGTCGTTCCTTTCTTAACCGACCTCGGGGTCGGAATTATGTAAGGGCGAGAGGGGCGCGGAAGGGATTAAATTTTATCTCTATTCTGCAAGTCTCAAAGGCAACAGAAATATCTATTTTCGTTTTTTTTAAATATAAATTTATATATTGTCTATTTGTTTGTTTGCAGGGCTAAAGGAGATTACTATCTGGACACGGCGGCAGCAGAACCTTTCGCTTTAATATAATAAAATCAAAGGTCGACTGATACGGCTTATATCTACTCGTATAAAATCAAATTTTGTATCAATTAGATCTTTTATAAATAAAACTTAGTAAGCATGAAACTAGTCGTTGTGTTAAGTACTGTGCTGGCGCTCGTCCAAAGCCACGGTAAACCCTTTATCACATCAAATATAGCGTAGGTAATTTAAAACTTTTACGTTTAAGTCGTGAGACGCTATTACGCGGATGAGGAGACCGGAGATGGTAAGCGGTTCACAGTCTTCGCCTCGGAGGACGGGGGATGGAGTTTGATAGATCTGCGACAGAGGGCAATTAACGTAGAGGTCAACGTGTCCGATGTTACGATGTTTCTGTACACGCAGCGAAATAAGGATGAAGGCGTCGAGGTGAAACTGGATGAGCTGACTATTGATACGAATTACTTCGATCCCAGCAAAATCTGTTTCTTCGTGTCCCATGGCTACACCGAGAATTACTTGGGAAGCAACAACGTGCCAATAAGGGACGCAATCCTATCAAAACACGACGTCAATGTATTCCTACTAGATTGGAGTAAATTTTCTTCGCTGTTCTATACGACTTCCGTAGTAGCAGTCCCTAAAATAGGTGCAGTTTTTGGAAATGCTATAGAAAACCTTATGGAGAAGTACGGGATGAGTTACGAGCAAATACATCTTTGCGGGCACAGCTTAGGCGCACACGTTGTGGGAGCTATTGGTGCTACAATGGGTGGCAATGCAGATCGTATCATAGCCACGGATCCAGCCCTTCCTCTCTTCTGGTTAAACGATACCGAGAAACGGTTGGATATTAGTGACGCTAAATTTGTCCAGGTTATACATACGAACGGAGGTTTACAAGGATTCCGGAGTTCCATAGGGCACGCGGATTATTTCCCGAACGGTGGAGGAATGAATCAGCCCGGATGTGGTTCAGATCTGTTAGGGAATTGTGCTCATGCTAGGGCTCATAAATATTACAGCGAATCGATCCTTACATCTCGTTTCGTCGCGAAACGCTGTCCCAGCTACGAAGACTTCCAGCTGAATCGCGGTTGCGACTCAGAGTCTCTACTCGGAGAGTTCTTCACAGATAAAAAGTAAGTTTAAACTAATTAAATCCATTCATTATTAATAAAAACTTAATCAACTTAATAATATTATTATTTTAACACGTAATATTTAGTAAATAAGAAAAATCTATATCTTCTTTATAGTTATGCAAATTATTATTATAGTTTATGACTATACTATAGAATTTATGTTATCAATCCATCTCTTCAAATTTAAAAGTGAATTACTTAGTAATCTCAAGTACTTTAATCATACCTGTACGCATAATATATTCTCTATAGTCTTATTCATCTTTAATCTATTAGTCGTAATTTCCGATTGTTTTTTTTTTCTTTATTGATGATGTTTTATTTTGTATAGGGCCAATGGAGATTATTATCTGGACACAGCGGAATCAAAGCCATTCGCCTTGGGATAAAGATCAACGATACCAAAAATCACGATGGCTGATATCAAATCAACGCAGATAATGTTCCATAAATAATTAGTATTTTTGCGTTTGTAATCTGTGAAAATATATATGATTTTTTCTGGTAAAATAAATGTATATAAGCAAACGGATAAGTGAGTTGAATTGTATTGTTTGACGGAGGTCGTTATGAATCTGTCTAAAAGTTTATTGTTGCTGTTCGCTGCAGTAACTGCTGGAAGTGCAGGTAACTCGCGGCTCGATGATTTCATTTCGAAACAATTAGTTTCGCTTATAATTTGCAGATGTTCAAAGGCAGTACTACAGTGACGAGGAGAGGACGGGCGTGGACGTGGACGGACAGAGGTTTATTGTAATGCAAGATGAATCGGGAGTGGTACATTTGGTTGATTTGCATGCGAGGGCCGCAGGTGCAGTGGCAAACATATCGGACGTGACTGTATTTTTCTATACACAAACGAACCCCACGAACCCTATCGAGATAAAAGTAGAACAGTTCGATGGCTTCATCAAGTCCGATCTGTTCGATTCTAGGAAGGACATTGTTTTCACGACGCATGGCTGGGGAGGATCGCATACCAGCAAAACGAATATCTTCACCAAAGATGGAATTTTAGCTCATTACGATGTTAACGTATTCGTTATTGATTGGTTCCGACCTGCAAACGAGTTTTACACGGTCGCCAAACTTTCCGTTCCGATTGTTGGAAAGATCATGGGCAATTTTATTAATAATTTGATGGAAAAAAATGGCATCCAAGCAAGGCAGATTGTTATCGTTGGTCAAAGCTTAGGAGGACAACTCATTGGGTCTATTGGAAGCAATATGAAGGTGAAGCCTAGCGCGTTGGTGGCTTTGGACCCAGCTCAACCTCTGTTCTTTGTCGACGATGATCCAGACACTCGCCTGGACGCTTCGGACGCTGAATTCGTTGAGGTCATCCATACGAACGCCGGATTCCTAGGATTCAAGAGTTCAATAGGTCACGCGGATTACTACCCCAATGGCGGCGGTATGCGGCAACCAGGATGCGGTCCAGACATACTGGGCACCTGTGCTCATTACAGAGCTTACTATTATTACGGTGAAGCCCTTCTCACATCTGGGTTCAAGGCGCACAGATGCGATAGCTACGAGAAATACCAAGCTGGGAATTGCAGTGAGAACTCGGTTTCGTACATGGGTGTCTATCCAGTTCACAACCAGTAAGCATTGAACTTTTTATTATTATATAGAATTCAAATTATATTTAATTACAGGGCCCGAGGAGACTATTATTTGAATACGGCTGCATCCGAACCCTTTGCACTTGGATGAGTGCTTCGACCATTTGATGTATTCATCCGATAAGAACGCGACAGAAATCTGTATATAATAAATTTACGTCAGCTCAAACAATATCTGCTCATTTCATCGGAATTATCGTTTCATCTCGGCATTGATTTTTTCCTTCACTTGGTCTAAGCTCGTAGTGTCCGATAGCACTTTAATTGTCTTCTGCCGCGATTTAAAACCCTAAAACAAAAAGGTGATGAACTGATTGACATTTTTACAGGTAGTAAATACCACCTTCTCCAAAGATACGTCTCCTTTTCGTACCCCCAATACACTGGATATGTACTTGACCAGTTCAGTGTTAGCCTCTCCCTCTGCAGGAGGTGCATTTATCTGAACACCTACACCTTCTTCCGTAATATCTGGAATAATACCATCAACACCCATACATGAAAATCTTTCCAAATACGCACCAGTAATAGAGTTTTGCTTAGCACCAGGCTTAGCCAAGATATGGATTAAAATATGCTTAGATTTGTCCAAACAAATCGGTTCAAATACCTTAGGAGTCACCTGAAAAATAAATAGAAATTATTTAAAATTAATAACAACATAATATAATATCTAGAATTTCAAAAAATAGCAAAGTATTTAAATTTTAATATAAAAAATAAAAGTTTTATAGTATTTTTATTTAAACATTAGTGAAGTCAATTTATTTAAGGCCTTTACTAAACTTTGAGCAAGTAACAAACTCTAAATAGTGAAAAGTCTTTTAATTAGCTATATTAAGTAATTAAGAGTATAATAATCGTTTACAAAAAGTACAAATTAATTTTATTTAAAAAGCGATAGCAGCGCAGAAAGTGTTGAACTACAGAAGAATTGAGTTACTGGTTTGAAGATGTCGCTCTAAACATATCTGTACTTTCCAAGTTTGACGATAATGTACTAAATTTCAAATAAGAAAATCGTCAATTACCAATAGAGTTTTCTTGAAAAAAAAAACTTTGTTACACTAATATTAAAATATTTAAATTTTAAATAAATTGAAACTATATCTTACTCATTTCAAATTATTGATGCAGTTTTGTTACCTGATTGTGCAGAAAACGAGAAATCTATAAATAAACTTGCGTCTGGATAAAAGTTGTCAGTGCAATATTGTCCTAAAATTACATTAAGTTTGAAGCAAATAATATCAGAAGTTAAAGATCTTAATAGGAATGTAAGTAAAACTTGAACGAAGCTAATGTATTTTAACCTATAAGTGCGAATATTTCAAAGGTACATACGTCCGGTTCTTTTTGCGATTTACCCTTCTTTGAAGCCTTCTTAGACATACTCGTGGTTATAACACTGGATGTTGTTAAAATATTCAGAAACTTGCTACCGGTCTTCGCACAGTACATCTGTTTTGATTGTCTGACAGTTCGTGTTTAGTTTTAGGTTACAAAATATTTTACAAGATGCCGAAAAAGTTCGCTGGAGAGAATAGCAAAGCTGTAGCAGCTAAAGCCAGAAAAGAGGCTGTTAGGGAGAACGAGAAACAAAAGAAGAAGCAGCAGGATGATGATGCTATGTGGATGGACAATGATAAAGGGGCCATGAAGAAACAGCAGCGAAAGGTAAGCTTTATGAATTTATAAGAGTTGGTATAATGATGTACTAATATACAGGAAGAGCAAGAGAAAAAGAAGATTGAACAGGCCCAGAAGAAAGCTGAAGCCAAAGCTTTGCTTGAGGAAGAGATGTCAAGCATCAAGAAGGTTTCTAAACCATCACCATCTCCTAAAGTAACTGTAGCTAAAATACAAGCTATGAAACAAGCCCAGGCTCAAGCACAAACTAAAAAGGAGGATAAGAAAATTGAGACCCATCTCGATGTTCCTGTGGAGGAGAATATAAACAGAATTGAAGTGGATGGAGATGAAGCTAGAACTATCACTGAGGCTATTAATATCTTAAGGTAATGATATTATTTGCATTAAGTTTATAGTTGTAACTCTTTTATTTCTAGTGTGGAAGAAAAGCATGTAGATAAGCACCCAGAGAAAAGGATGAAGGCAGCTTATAATGCCTTTGAGGAGAGAAGATTAATTGAATTGAAGGCTGAGCATCCTTCACTTAGATTATCCCAATTGAAGCAGATGATCTTCAAAGAATGGCAGAAGTCTCCAGAGAACCCATTGAATAACGTTTAACGTTTAAATACAAAAATAATTTATTTCCACAAAAAAAAATATAACTACATTTATTCAGTCAGTATAAGAGTATGGAAAATATGATATATAAAAATCAAAATATAATAATGGATGGAAAAATTAAGCATAGTGCAAGAAGAGAAACATCATCATCTGGACCACCAATCTACGAAGCACAGAATCATATGAGCCAAGTGCTCTGGAGTTTCCAGGAGCGACATATGACCTGCTGTAGGTATCAGTTCCAGAAAGGCCCTCGGAATCGTCTGTAAAAGTAAAGAAACTTTAAGACATTGTATTTGGTTAAAGAGGAAATAAATCTTACTCGTTCCATCTCACACTCCTGCACCAAAGTCACCTCGGTGTCGTTTAACCCATGGACAAGTAAGGTTGGAATAAGGATCCTTCGATGAAAAGCTGCATCACCCTCGGGCCAACTCTGCCCGATATTGATATAATCCAAAACGTACTTTGGTATGGAAGAGTCTGAATCACAAGGCTTGAAGTGCTTTCCTCTAGTGGCATAGAATAAACTCCTAAAAAATATATATTACAATTAGAGGCTTATGAACGATGATATCTTTCTATTTTGCACAACTTTAAGATACAAAATTTTACTTTTTCACTTCAATTTAATAAAAAAAGCATACAAATTTTATTGGAAATTATTTCGCTTATCCTATTTATTGAATACCAATAATTTGAGCATGTCACGCATCTTAGTAACGTTTTTGAAAACGTTTATAATCGCGGTTTCCGCAGATTATTGATTTTTAGAGATCAAGGTCAATAAGGGTAAGTCAATAAATGCAATTTCAGACACTTCAAATTCTTGGGAAAGTGTATTTTTTTGAAATTGCAATTAGATCTAAATTAACAGCGTTTTCTTACAGAACATGGCTGATGATAGCATTAAAACATGTAAACAGATCTACAAAACGAATACATGCTTGTGAAAGACGTATTCGTTGAGCGGATGCTTCATGCATGGTTTAAAGACAATTTCATAGAGTACATTTTTGAATTCGCAAGGAAACATTTATATGCAACGCCGGAACAGCCACAGGGTGAATTATGGTTTTAATTTAAGCTATCGTCGAAATATGTGCGCGGCGCATCTAATCGAATAGCGATCAAAAAACATATAATAATGCATGCAGTTTGGCGTGTAAGTAGAAATTTGCGCAACCGAACATGTACTTTACCTTTTAATACCACAGAACAATAATGGACTTATCAGTAGTTGCAACCAGCTGAAAACGGAGATTTCGCTTCCTGTAATGGGTGCTGAAAGGGCTGTAGGGCCACCACCGCTAATTAACACCAGCTGCACTATCTGTTGCGGCCGATACCTGCACAAAGCTGTAGCCAAACTACACCTAAAAGTAAATATTCGTTAGGAATTTGTAAATATTGATTGTATCACTTTTACCCAAAGGAATGCCCAATTATAATAAACTTCCTAGTCTCGTCTCTTTGAGCATAGTGATCAAAAACAGCGAAGACGTGATTCAATAGTTTCTTGAATTTGTAAGCCCTCCTCCTGTTTGGTGCCGAGCTATATCCATGCCCCAGCATATCTGGGGCAACAACCTCAAAGCCCTTACCCAAGAGATTCTTCATTATGTTCCACCACACATCTGCTGTGCTTCCAATACCATGCAATAGAATTATCATAGGCTTATCCTAGAAAATGTATTATTTAGATTTGAAATAAAAAGTAGATTCAATTGCACTTACATTAACTAATATTTGGTTTTTATGGCTGCAATTTTCTTTTTTGTTACGTAGAGTGATTGTGGTACATTCAGTGGGAAGGACAGCAGATCCCTCATCATCTGGTGATCTCAGGAACGCTAGATTGTCACAGCCCTTGTTCCGACTGATGGTATATTCCTGAAAAGCCTCAAAAACAGTGTCCTGGATTAACCTCTCCACAAAAGTCTCGATGTTAGTTATCTTGGAGACTTGGGTGAATTTTTCTGAATATCTCTGGGATCTCCTGAAGGAGCAGTTGCAGGGATTCGCTCTCAAAGGCTTGTTCCATCTTGTGAACCAATATTCCTCGGTTAGGGAGTTCCTGTTTGTACTGTGCCTCTTTTCAGCTGCTTCATGTTTCAAGTTTTTGTTAACCACCTGTTTATCAGGCTTCACATGTAGTATGTGAATATTGTTGCTATTCACACGCAGAAATTCACTATTTTTCACGCCAATCGGTTGCGTTGGATAGATGGAATGCCGGAGCTTCTTCAAGAATTTCGGCAGACAACAACTTTCTTCACTCATCTTTCTTCTCGCACTTTTAAGTTACACCCATTTCCAGTCGCTTCGTTCAATCCAGATCTGCTCAAACAAACGCTAATTGAACTTAATTCGTGTTACTTAACATTGTTTTCTTGTTTTTTTTACCATAGCCTCTACTTAAGCTGTACTCGTCCGGTTCTTTAGGCCGATTATCGCTTAGCGCATGACATGCTTACCACTTGCATACCAAATATAATAACTGTAAACGCAAGACGCATTCCGGATGGGATTGCTTCAATACTTGCAATGCAACAATATTTTTTGTTGACTCACAAAGATTTCTTAATAAAAAAAATATATTTATTAATTTATTGAAATAAAATATAAATAATTACCAGTAGCTTCGAATTGAACGCTTCAACTGTTGGAATGCGAAAGCCTTCTTTTCACTTAATAGAAATAATAATTGTTTATGCAATCTGTTTATTCAACAATTATGACTACTAACTAATGCCCACTCCAATCGTCCTTTGGTCACGGTTTTCAAGTTATTAGTATTGCTGTTGCGTTTATGAAAATAATTTGCATGTTGCGTTACATTGTTACAATATTTGGCGAAATTCGGAACAATGCTTCCACATGGATAAAGCATATTAATGACTTTAACTTTCTGTTTCATATTATTAATTGCCAGTGACCTCTAACTAAACAAAAAAAATATAATTAATTAAGACGAAAATCCAACTACGAAAATAGTTACAATCATTACAATTAAATACTCATAATCTTCGAGACTAAGTAAACTGTATACAAGGTAATCTTTGCACAGTAACTAATATTGAAGTCTTATTCAACTACATTTGTTGTAAATAACAAATTCTAATTTAAATAATTAAGTATATTTCCCTTGACCAATATATATTAATATTTGCTTTGTAAAATAACTGAAATATTCGTTTCTATAAAAATCGTTAATTATTACAGATTCATTAGCAAATTCCAATTGAAAAATAATTATATCCAATTAAGTTTTTATTTTGTTCGCTCGTAATTATTTAAACGTTAGACGTTGGAACGAATGAATAAAATAAATAACTACAAGTGATTTATTTCCGAGAAATAAATGTTCGTTTGTTAAATATTTAAAAGTAAACTTTATTAATAATTTTACACATGTTAAAACTTGTAAATATCTGCAGTACCAAAAAAAATCACGTTATGTTGATGTTCATAATTTATATGTAAATACATTCAGTACCAAGGAAATCTTGTTATGTTATTGTAATTAATAAATATTTAAAAGTAAACTTTATTAATAATTTTACATATGATAAAATTTGTAAATTTGCAGTAACTAGGAAATCTCGTTATGTTGCTGTTTTAATACATAAATAGTAGCAGCCCTTACATATTACATACCCATTGTGATTTCTAATATAAATGATTGATGCATAATATTAAAGTAAAAAAAATGATTGTAGATTGTTTTTTTTTTCTTGACGAAACATAGCATAAAATTGGGGAAAACGTGATTTGTATAAGGGCTCAACAAAATCCGGTTTTGTTAAACATTATCCGAATTGTTTCGACATTAATATTGACGTTTTTTTTTATTAGCCTAGTGAAACGAGACTGCTAAATGTTTTTAGTTCATATATTTCTGCCTCTTCTTTGATGAATAAGGCGACTAGAATGAGTCTATGCCATTTTATTAACAACGGACAGATGAAGTGCAGCCAGTTGGCTGTTCCATCTGTCCAATGCATTGTATCTTGATGTATTGACGCTCTCCCGATTCAAGAAAAGGACGTGATTAACTTCATCAATTCTTCCTTGGATTGTGCTGAAACAATAATAACAATAATTATACTCAAGTATATAATGAAGATCAACAAAACTCACTTGTCCAAAATGCAGGAAACTAACAAATTTTCTACATCGTCTTCGTCGATGTTTAGTTCTCTTGAAATAGATGGAATTTGTATTCTCGTGTAAGGCCTGATGAGTTCAATGAGAACCTGTGTACGGATGTTCCTTAAGAGATCTACAAAAAAAACGTAATTTACAAGAAATTTTCGCAATACCAATTCGCTTACCTTCAATGTGTTCACGAATAAATGGATCATCCATAATTGTTTCGCGATTTTGCCTTAAGATTTTCTCAAATTCGTTAATATCGTTATTCTGATACGCATTGACGAGATTCGTCATGGCTAATATTTCTGGGTCGTTCTTATAGGGTTTTGCTTCTTGCGAATCGAACGGATTTATTCCAGATTTCATTAACCTGGAAAGAACGGTAAGTTATTGAATTCAATTGCGAAGTAAATATGTAAATTACATGTTCGCTAGTACAAGATATTTGAGGCAAGTTGTGCGTCGCGGGCTACCGGATTCATCATAATTCTTGAATGCTTCAAAAAAATCAGTATGGGCTCTCTCGAATTCTCCTTCACGAAGATGCATTTTACCTCCACATTCTGAAATAGAAAATATTTTGAAATATCTTCTGTTAAAGACTTAGTGATTGAATAATATATGAAATTTACCTCTAATAACTCCCATTATCAAAGGATGTGGTATTGCGGATTTAATATGCAAAGATTGTTCATACAGTGTCTTAAGTTTCTTATTATTTTTTTGTTCTGTATACATTTGTATTTCTAATGCATATATTTCAAGTAACTGAGTACCCTTTTTAAGATCATCTTCTCCGTCATCAGTTTGGCATGACTGATGCAATTGCTTTAAAATTTTTGCTAATTTATTATAATCACCCTGATCATAATAAAGTTTTCCTAATTTAGTGTTCGTTTTAAACCAGAGCCTATCATTTTTTGCATCCTTAAGAGCTTCCAGAGTAGTCTCATAGAAATCCTGCAAAAGATCCATCTAGACAGACAGATTTTAGTTGATTGTCATTTATATGGTGCACAGATGCTTACGTTCTTGGATGTTGATATATAATCTAAAATAGAATTGATGGACTTTTCACTGTGGTTTCTGGTCACGGCTGTCTTGATGTAAGTTAGAAGCTGCTTGTAGCGAGTCATCATTTCATCGAAGTTGGCTAATTTAAAGTTTATTTTAATCATTTGCTTCAATGCTTTGAAGCCCCATTCTCCTTTCTCCCCCTTTTCCAGATCCAACACCTTCTGGAAAGACCACAAGGCACTCTTCGGGTCATCCTCTTTCAATGCTTTGCTGTTGTAATACTGGTTTTCTAAGTCCACGTCCGGTTCGGAATTACTATCTTCTGAGTATTCCTGCAAAAAGGGAACGTGTATATATAGGTGAAAATAAACAGTCACCAGAGGTTAAGTGCGTTGTTTCTTCTATTTACCAGACCATAATCCTCCTCGTCTTCGCACATGAAATCATCTTCACCGTCTGACATCTTTCCTAAATTGTTGAGTATTTGTTACTTAAAGAATACCGGCTCTTATTTACGTATCATAGAGGGCAACTGATTAACATTGATTGCAGCGACACTTATCAACACTTATGGCGATCGAATTAGAATGCACCGCACCGGCAATTGTCATTGCATCTGCTTATGCAACCAAACTTGCTTGAAAAGTTGCATAATCAATGCTTTACACGTACAGAACAATAATTAATCACAATTATTGAACAATTAACGAACCATAATTGATAGTTTACCTAATAAAAACATTTACGTTACAATCAACAACTATTAAATGCAAATTAAATAAACATTTCATTAATATTACAAAATTGTATTAACAAACAATCATTTACCAAAAACAACAATTTAAACTTTAAATTATTTGTTTACAAAGCACAAATTAGTTTTCGTTTAAATATTAATATACAATTCATATTACTGCAGTGCTTTCCACGGTTTATTGTTTCAAATAATGTTTTATGTCGGACAACAAATGCAAGTGCTGTAACTTCTTTTCTTTCTTTTATTATTATTTTCATAGCGGTCATAAAGTACCGCGAGTACACGATTTAATGATTCTTCCATTTATTGCGCAAAAAAAAGAGCAATCAGACATGGAAAAACCTTTCGTCTAGGCTTTAAAGTAAGAAACAAGAATATGTTATTAATTTTCTTAAGTAATACGTTTTCTGTAACAGATTCTTTAGACACTTTTTTTTATTATATTTTTAAATTATTAATAATCCAATTATTGAATTATAAATGCATTTTTAAGAACAATGTAAATAAGGTTGCCTATGTTACTTTACCAGTAGGAGATAGTCAGGATTACTTAACAGTTCATATTTAAATAAAACGCGTTCTCACAAAATTAGTAGTAGTAAAAGACACTGCTTTTTAAAGTAGTATTTTTTTTTTCAACTTTGATGCCAAAACGCGAAGACACTGCTTTTTTCAAGTGTTAAAAAAACGTTTTTTCAACTTTGAGTACAAATTACAGAATTATTGAAGCATATACATTTGACTTTAGTTTTAGTATTTAAAGACACAATTAACATGATTGGTTGTTGAGTAATACATCAAAACGTGAAGATACTGCTTTTTTTGAGTGTTAAAACAACGTTTTTTTTAAACTTTGAGTACAAATTACAAAATTATTGATGCATATACATTTGACTTTAATTTTAGTATTTAAAGACACAATTAACATGATTGGTTATTGAGTAATACACCAAAACGTGAAGACACTGCTTTTTTTTAGTGTTAACGCAACGTTTTTATCAACTTTGAGACAAATTACAGAATTATTAAAGCGTATACATTTGACTTTAGTTTTAGTATTTAAAGACACAATTAATATGATTGGTTGTGGAGTAATACACCAAAACGTGAAGACACTGCTGTTTTTTTAGTGTTAACGCAACGTTTTTTAACTTTGAGTACAAATTACAGAATTTTAGAAGCATATACATTTGACTTTAGTTTTAG